TTCTGGAGAAGAGCACATGGTAGCTCGGATCCGAGTGGGAGAATGAGAGCTAGGTACTATGGGAGCCAACATGGGAGACTCTGGGTAGTGTAGTTGCCGAGGAAGCTATGAAGCTCATGATTGGACAGGACCTGGCGAGCTGGATCAGGCAAGGGGAGATGTATGCATGGCCACTGGTGGATAGTTTGGTCTGGAGGACAGGCAAGGTCATCAGAAGCCGAGGTGGGAGGGGATGCAGTGGGGCAGACAGGAGCAAGGGCCTCAAGGTCTCAGAAGAGGAGGAGGGAAGCCCTTTAGTCCCTCTGCCCTGTTGATTTGCATACCCCGTCAGGAATGACAACTACACAATGTCTCCTCCAAGCAATAAAATAATAAGTTTGAGCATTTCCTGGGGCATGAGTAATACTTGCTCTGGAAACAGTATTATATCAGCGGCCCCGGATCAATCAGGACCCATGCTTGCCTCACTCTAGGACAGTGGTTCCCAACCTGTGGGTCACAATCTCTTTGAGGGTCAAAGGACCCTTTCACAGGGGTTGCCTAAGACCATCAGAAAACACAGACATTTACATTATGACTCATAACAGTAGCAAAATTATAGTTATAATGTAGAAATGAAAATAATCACTCTGTGGTTGGGGGTCATCGCAACATGAAGAACTATATTAGAGAGTCACAGTGTTAGGAAGGCTGAGAGCCACAGCTAGGAGCTGATGTAGCTCCTCCCCTTCCTCTTCCCTCTCCTCCACGAAGTATGCCTTGGTAGCTTTAGTCCATACACCGCTTCTCCTCCTGACCCTCAAGTGTTCTGCTGTCTAGACCCTTGGCAGTTGGTCTGATTGCAAGTGATCTACCCAGAGAAGCTAGGGACACGGGGTGCAGTGACCAGAAATGAGAGACAACATGGCTAATTTGCTACTGATAGTCATTGTTACCGTGTCAGCTTTTATTTTATAAATCCAATCAAAACCCAGGGCATCTTATATTAACATCACTTCTTTTCTTCCAGTGCTGGGAATTAAACCCAGGGCTTTCCACGTGCTAGGCAAACACTCTGCCACGGAAGTACACCTCAGCCCATGTTTTTAATGAGACAGGGTCTAGTGAGACTGAATTGGCCTCAAATTTGTGATCCTGTATCCGCCTCCCAAGCGCTGGGATAACAGGCACACACCGTCTACCATTACTTTCAATCATTTATAATCCAGAATGGATTTTTAAAAATACTTTGTTTTTCATTTTATGGGTATGTATATTTTGACTGCATATATGTGTACCATGTGTGTGCAGTGCCCAATAACATAAGAAGGTGCCAGATCCCCTGGGACTGGAGTTCTGGATGACTGTGAGCCATCACGTAGGTGCTGAGAATCAAACCTGAATCCTCTGGAAGAGCAGCCAATGCTTTTAACTGCTGAGCCATCTCTCCGGGCCCTTCAGCACGTTTTCTCCCCTCTAATTTCATTTATTAGGAAATAAAATTCCAGCAAAAGTAGAAGATACAAGAGACATGGGAAGTGGTCACAGTACATAGACCTCGTTAAGTCAGGAACATAAAGGGTTAAAAATAAAATGAGCTACAAGCAAAAAGCCAGTAGCTCATCCACGGCCCAAACATCTGGAAGGTTCCACTGCTTTCCCTCTCTGATCTTCTGCCTTTAGCAGCCCGTTTCATCCTTAACATTTTAAAATTATATTACTCGTGTGTGTGTGCATGGAGGGGGCCTGCATATGATGTGTAACGTATGTGGAAGCCAAAGACAAATTGTGGAAATTGGTTTGCTCCAGGCATCTTGAAGGTCTCAGTGATCAAACTTAAATTGATGAGGCAAGTGCCCATACCCACAGAGCCATCTCATTGGGCTGGCATTTTTTTCCTCATTTTTTTATTTTATTTTAGATGCCAACCACAGTTTTCCTTCCCTCCCTCTCCTCCTACTCCCCACCCCCTCTACCACCCCTCTCCCATTCCTCCGTCTTCACTCAGATGGGATAAGGCCTCCCATCAGAATCAAAAAAGCATGGCACACCAAGTTTAGGTTGGACCAAGCTTCCCTGCCCCTGCCTTCCCCAACATCAAGGCTGAGCAAGGCATCCCACCATAGTGAATAGGTTCCAAAGAGCCAGACCATGCATCAGGAACAGGTCCTGGTCCCACTGCTAGGGGTCCCACAAAAGACCAAGCTGCACAATTGTCACCCAGATGCTGAGGGCCTAGGTCAGTCCCATGCCGTCTCCCTAGGGGTCTGTCCAGAGTCCATGAGCTCCCACAAGCTCAGGTCAGCTGTCTTTGTGGGTTTCCCCATCACGATCTTGACACCCCCCTTGCTCACACAATCCACCCTCTCTTCAACTGAACTCTGGGAGCTCGGCCTGTTGAAATAATATTGCCATACCCGGGATAGGGGTGACGTTTAATTTTATTGGGGAGAAATCACTTACATGAGAAACCGATAACCCAGGGTCAGCGCTCCGAGCACCCAATCTCAGCTACCTTCCGAGATCCGACCAATTGAACCCCTATAGAGAGAGCCTGTCTCCTCCTCAGGCCTAACAGCCCCCTACACACCTGTGGCCACGCCCAAATAGGCATGGTCAGCGCCACAGGTACTTAGCAAGATCTCTCCCAGTGCCTGGCTGTGGATTTCTGTGTCTGCTTCCATCAGGTACTGGAAGAAGGCTTTAGGGCAGTCACCCAGTCTGATTACAGAGGAAGGCCAGTTCAGGCATCCTCTCCACTATTGGTAGGAGTCTTGGCTGGGGCCATCCTTGTGGGTTGCTGGGAGCCTCCCTGGCACCAGGTTTCTCCTTAACCCCACAATGGCCCCTCTGTCAAGGTATCTCCCCCTCCCCCATCCTGACCCCTCATGTTTCCACCCCCTCATCCCCTCTCCTCTACTCTCCCACCCCGCTCCCAGCTTACCCAGGACACCCCATCTACTTCCTCTTCCCAAGGAGATCCATCTATCCCTCTTAGGGTCCTCTTTGTTACCTAGCTTCTCTGGAGCTGAGGATTGTAGGCTGGTTAGCCTTTGCTTTACATTTAATATCCACTTATGAGTGAATGCATACCATGTTTGTCTTTCTGGGTCTAGGCTACCTCACTCAGGATGATTTTTTTCTAGTTTCATCCATTTGTCTGCAAATTTCATGATGTCATTGGTTTTTATTTTCCCACTGAGTAATACTCCATTGTATAGATTTACCCCATTTTCTTTATCCATTCTTCGGTTGAGGGGCATCTAGGTTGTTTCCAGGCTCTGGCTATTATGAATAATGTTGCTATGAACGTAGTTGAGCAAGTGTTCTTGTGGTATGGTTGAGCATCCTTTGGGTGTATGCCCAAGAGTGGTAGTTCTGGGTCTTGAGGTAGATTAATTCCCAATTTTCTGAGAAAATCAGCCACCACATTGATTTCTAAAGAGGCTGTACAAGTTTGCACTCCCACCAGCAATGGAGGAGTGTTCCCCTTACCACATCCTCTCCACCATAGGCTGTCATCAGTGTTTTTCTTTCTTTCTTTTTTTTTTTTATCTCGGCCATTCTGACAGGGGTAAGATGGTATCTCCGAGTCATTTTGATTTGCATTTACCTGATAGCTAAGGATGTTGATCACTTCTTTAAGTGTATCTCAGCCATTTGAGATTCTTCTGTTGAGAATTCTCTGTTTAAATCTATACCTCATTTTAAAAATGGGATTATTTGGTATTTTGATGTCTTGTTTCTTGAGTTCTTTATGTATTGTGTATATCATCGATACAGTTTTTAAAAGAGAAAAAGCGATGTGTTTCTGGTAGGCAATTTGCCTGTTAGGGAAATGCTGGCAGGTCCTGGGTTGGGTGCTGAGCATGGAGTAGTGAACAACCAGGTGCTTTCACTGCGGTCCTGGAACTTATTTTAGAGAGAAGGAAATGAAATCTTAGCTGCTCCGTGGACTGTTGTAACTAGGGAGCCACAGATGTTGTAAGCAGCTGAGGCTGTTACACCCACACCGTGATTTCCATCCCCCCCCTCATCCTCCCACTTTGTTGCCTCTCCATTTTATGGGAGAGTGTTTTGAAGGTGACTCTCTCTTGTAATATGCATCTGCCCAGCTGAAAAGTGGTCCAGAATCCCTGGATTAGACTAAATCTAGCCGTTTGCTCTGCAGCAATTTGTATTAAGCTCGATGTCCATTCAAAGTATGATAGGAGATGGGTGAGGACTTTGCAGTCAGATCCCAGAAGTCTGCAAGTCAGTTCCCCTCTGAAGAGGTCAGGGGGAGCTCCACAGAGGAGACAGACGGCCTTTGAACTCTGTTTGGAAATATGTGTGCTGGTAAAGAAATCGGAGAGGTGCGTGGATCCCTGCTCTTGGAAGCTGAGGCACATGTCTTCCCTGCTCTTTCTTCCCTGAAGGTTGAGCCACATGCCAGGCACTCACACAGTGGTGTCTCAGGCTCACTTTCCTGGGGAGTGTTGAAATAAAGGGGCTGAAGGAATGAACTTGCACTGGTGTTGGCTGGACTCTGAGTTCAGGTGCCAGGACAGGTTCTGTTTTCTGCCATGTTGTGGACTTCCCTAAGGCATTTGCTTCCCTAAGACAGACTGGTGCTCACAAACCTACAGGTGAGGGGCTCAGACCCAGGTAACTTCACTCTTTGTGGCCCCTTCATGGTGACAGCCTACACTCTTGACTTCATCCTTACATACTCCCAGCAGCTCCCTGCAACAACATAGCAAGGGACATGGCTTTTCATTGTCCTTTAAATGTGTTTGACTTGCCCAGAGCCAAAGCCTTGTATGATGCTAAAGCTTTTAGCCTCCAAGCTCATTCCAGCTTCCCAGCCTTTGACAGCCACAAAAATCAATAGACTATTTTTTTTTCCAGTCTCTCCAGGCACACTGGAGACTTCATCACTGCATCTATCTCCCCTCTCCTCCAGGTTCAACTCGGCGTCCAGCGGCCCCCTGATGAACAGCCCCTATTTTTCCTCCAGTGGGAATGGAATACGCTTTTAGACTTCTTTCTCTCTCCCCGCCTCTCTTTGCCCTTGGAACAGGGCTAAAGATTCTGGAATTCTGGATTCTGCAACAGCTTGGTGTGAAGTTTGGAAAGCCAAGGTTCCAACCAGGTGGCCGACAGAAAACAGCAAGACCAGACTCATCTACTGACCAACACTCACCTTCATAGCTCCCCTTGCGTGTAGCACACACCGCAGACGCACCCTCCTATTTGTAAGACCACACAGGCACCTGTATTTAGCTAACATGACTGGTTTTTGTTTTTGTTGTTGTTGGTAAGATAGAAAGTAAGACACTTAATTTAGAACGTTTATATTTTATGATAAAACTATGAGCTGCTTGAACATGCGTGTGCCTGTTCATTTACTTGGCTGTGATTTGTGAAAGCTGTACTGCTCATTTTCCTCCCATGAGTCTCAGTGCTTCTTCAGACACAGACTGGGGTCTTGGGAGTGTTGCCATCTACATGCGGAACCTTGGGAGTCAATATCTTGAGCACTTATCTCTTTCCTCCTGTGATTCCCTTCCTCCCCGACATCCCAGATTCTCATTCCTACAATGGGCATTGGACAAGGAATATTCTCCCCTGTGGCCTGTCCCAGGTAGAAGGTTTTCAGCAAATCTGTCTTGGACACAGCATTGGCATAGGACACAATTTCAAAATGAATCTTAAGGGCTGATAAGATTATTCAGTCAAGGCATCATTTCAAGCCTGATGATCTGAGTTTGATCCCTGGGACCCAGTTAATAGAAAGAGAGAACTGACTCCTAGAAGTTATCCTCTGATCCCCATGCATGTGAGTACACACACACACACACACACACACACACACACACACACACACACTTAAATACATGGAACAAAAATCAATCTAATTTGTGATAAACTGTATTCATCGATGATGCACTTGTGTTAACCTGGAGGTCATTCTCAACACTGCACCTAATGACACTGCCCTTGACTCTGTCTTGTCCAACTCTGGCCAATGACTTGAATGACAACACTGAGAGACTCACAGTAACATTTATAGAGAATGCACTACGGAAATAGGAGACAGAATGACTTGGTTCTCTAGATCTACCTCCATGGGTAGGCATCGCTAATCAACTGTATGATTTCATGCCCTTGAGGCTGGCCAGAGCTGAAGAATCAGTTTTCTGATGGTACTGCGAGCAGTTATTATCAACCAGAGTTGGTCTGTGAAGTGAAATCCATGTGCTATCCTTTTAATGCTTGTTACCATGATGAAATTAAACAGGGCTTGTCAACATCAGGACATGCTCTCTGGTCCATGCACTTAGATGGACTACCACTATTGCCTCTACATTGCTCTTTTTTTCTGCAGTGCTAGGTACCTGGGAGCTGAATTCTACAGTGAAATCCAGGTCTGAAGAACATTAGAAACTATACTATAGGCCTGCAGCAATGACAGGCAGAGAGTCTGAAAGACATCGATGTCTTGGAATGGGTTTAAGCCACAAAAAGTATTTCTCTTGACCTCACAGTATGATGTCACTAGACTCACTGACCTTCCTTTTCCTTTGGATTCTGAAAAAGTAATTTCTCCTCCAGTTTCCCTTAAGACTAATACCTTATCTTTGCTGGTGGTCTAAATTTGGGGTTTCTGTTATTCTTTGGGCTTCTGCTTCTCATATTGTTTCTTCTTGCTATGCTTGGTCAACAGGCTGCCCCTATATTAGTTACTTTCCTGGTTTCTGAAACAAAATGTCAGACAGCCCAAAGCAACTTAAGCAAGAAAGGGTTTATTTCTGCTCACAGTTCAAGGAGAAGCTCATCATGACGGGGAAGGTCTGGCAGCAGGTTGCTGGTTCCAATGTGTCTACAGTCAGGAAGCTGAGAGAGATGAATGTGGGTACTTAGCCAGCTTTCTCTTGTTTATGCAGTCTGAAAACCTGGTTCATGAAATGATCCCCCTCCAATGTATTTAATCTTGAAGATTCTTTCAGGACAGGTCCTGAGAGTTATTTCCAAGGCAAGTTGACAATGTAAACTATCACAGACCCTAGGAGTGTCTTACTTTTAGCATGACTATAGTTTACTGCCCAATATTGATCTCAGCCTGGAGAGAGAGAGAGAGAGAGACAGAGACAGAGACAGAGAGACAGAGAGAGACAGAGACAGAAAGACAGAGAACATGGGTTTACCACTGATCAGATCTGGTTTCTTAGAAACTTTTCAACATTGACATTGGCGAGAACTTACCCCTGTGGACCAGAATGCTATTAATGATAAGAGTCTCCAGGATTAAAAGATGATGTAGACTTGAGACAGACTTAATGTCTACTTAGTGTAGACTATGGTATAAGATGGGGCAATAAAGTCATTTCTTCCCTACTCCTGAAACTTTTTCCCAAATAATAAGAAAAAACTCTGTAGCTAATAAAAGCAGGGGAAGTTATAACCTTGCTACCCTAGTTTTATTTCTGGTGCTGGGATAAAAGTACCTTGACCAGGCCGGCCATTGGTGGCACACACCTTTAATCCCAGCACTCGGGAGGCAGAGACAGGCGGATCTCTGAGTTTGAGGCCAGCCTGGTCTCCAGAGCGAGTGCCAGGATAGGCTCCAAAGCTACACAGAGAAACCATGTCTTGAAAAACAAAACAAAACAAAAAATACCTTGACCAAAAGCAATCTAGGGAAGGAAGAATTTGTTTGGTATTCAATTCCATGTTATACTCCCTTTGGGTGGCAGTCAGGGCAGGAGCCTAATGCCTCACATCTGCAGTCAAGATCAGAGAAATGAATGTATCCTTGCTGCCTGCTTGCTTCTAGATTTCTTCATTGTTACACAGTCAGAGGCCCCTCTGTGTAAGGAATGGTATTGTCCACAGTGGGCTGAGTCTTCCCACCTCAATAACCAAGATAATACCCCACAGACCAATATAATGTAGATAATTCCTCATGAAGACTCTCTTCCAAGGTGATTGTAGGTTGTGTCAAGCCCACAGTTAAAGCTGTCTAGCCCATCCACCCTATACATAAGGCAGAAGTATGGTGGAAGAATGGTAAATGCCTTGGGAAGACAGATCATGCAGGAATGCTGAAGGATCTATGATAACAAGCAAGCTGTCCTTCTTCATGGAGTTCCAGAATCTACAGAGCCTGAGGTCCCACATGCTGAGCACTGTGGAACATGGGACTAGAGGGTGATCAAGGGGTTAACACTGTAAAGCAGTTTCTGTCCTGGCCTCACAAACTCCATAGGCAGTTAGTTGTATGTCAGACATGAGGCATTGTCTTGGGGGAAACTTAGGGACCATGCTTCAAGGTTGTGGAGTTGAGTGCTCAGTTGGAAAATGGATTAAGAGAAATACACATGTATAATCCAAGAGTGGCAGCTAGGCTATGATGGAAAGCAGGGGTTTGGAGGGGCTAAAGAATTGCTCAGAGACCTTTAGAAATCAGCCTACAGTGAATGCCATTTTGTAAATAGCTCCTAGTCACCATTAGGACCTAATGGTAATTAGGAATAGATATTCCCCAATAAGAAACATCAAGGTAAAGCTAAAACAAAACAAAAAACAACAAAAAAGAGCTTGGCAGTGGTGGTGCACATTTTTAATTCTAATGCTTGGGAGGCAGAGGCTGGTGGAGCTCTGTGAGTTTGAGGCCAGCCTGGTCTACAGAGAAAGTTTCGGGACAGCCAGGGCAAAACAGAGAAACCCTGTCTACAGGGAGGGAGGTGGGGGATGAAAGGAAGAAAGACATCAAAATTTCCTAAAGGAAGTAAGAGAAATCAATAATATTTATATTTACTTATTTAGAAAGGATAGTTTTTTTTCTACAAGCCTATTTTAAATAACTAAAAAGAATAATTTTTGAAGTCTTTTTTTCATTTTCCTTGTTCAAGATGTTTTCCTGTGAAGGGGTTAGAAGGTTAATATCAGATCGATCTCATGAAAAGGAGAATAAGCAAGAAAACGAGGTAACCTACAAGAGATATAAGATAAGACAACATGAAGCTAAGTCTAGGCCCTGGGTATCTGGGCAGCTGGATTCCAGGCTGTAGTTCCAGTGAAAACAGAGAGGTGGATGCTGAGGCACTCTCCCAAATGGAGTGCTCCTAACCACTGCTCCAAGAGGTGAGAGGAGAAGGATCAAAACATGGCATAACCTTAGGAAATTTCAGAGTAGCATGGATAAAGGTAAGATCCTAAAAATTCCAGAAAGACCTTGAGCAGCATAATTGTGATAGCACCTGGGTTCTCAACAGTAACACCAGAGCTTGGAATATCCATTGACAAAGTCATAACAGCGACCGAAAATGATCTTCAATCTGGAATTCCAAACCTGAATGCTAAATGATGAAGGTAGATGGAAGACCTTTTGCAGATAATCAAAGTTCCTAGAAATTTATCTCCCTGCATCTTTGCCAGAAAGAAGGGTGGGGATGAAAATTGGTCCTCTAGGACAAGGGGACCAACCAAGAAAGAAGAGATGGTATTCAGGAAACAGAGATTCGGGGCTAGAAGGATGATCAGGGAATTTCCAGGGTGAGAAGACAGGAACGGCTTAGCTCAGGGACCACAAGGCAGAGAACCATTCCTAGAGTTCAGAATGGAGTAGAAACTTGGTAATCTCTACAAAGGAGGTGTGTCAATATGTAAGACCCCCGGAAAGCTCAGGCACTTCATTGCCTACCTATGTGACTTGGTTTTGGCAAGATGGAAAGCAACCAGGAGTGTGAGCATGATTTCTGGAGGTGCGCGATACTTTGTGAGGTTGGCAAAACACAAGAGGAAAGAGGCCCAGCTCTTAGCTCTCTTTTGGCCTCAGAGTGGCCAGGCAAGTCTTGGATGGCTTTGCTCATCTGAAAAGAATGTAAATTGTAACTAAAATAAAATGCTATTTTGAATTTCTTTCACTTATAGCCATTTCCAATTTTGGCACATTAAAAAAATGAAGTAATGACATTTATTTTTATCACTAATAAGTGTTCTTAAGGTCATGTAATATACATGCATACATACATAA